CGATCTAACACTTGTAGGTATAATAATACTGCTTAAAGCACAACAATCTTTAAAACATTGATTTTGGAGGTCAACAACACTTGTTGGTATTACTACAGTTTTCAAATTGTTACAAGTATCAAAACAATTTTCCTTGATATCAGTAACACTGGTTGGGATATTGATACTGCTTAAAGAAGTGCAACTTAAGAAACAACAGAAACCAATAATTTAACACAAGTGTAAATTACTACATTACTTAAAGAATCACAATCTTAGAAACATTTATTTCTAATTTTTGTAATACTTGGTGGTATTACTACATCTTTTAAACTCTTACAATTATTAAAACATCTTCTGCCTATAGATGTAACACTTGATGCTTTCACTACACTACTTAATTTGCTACAATTACCAAAACAATTATTATTCAAAGCTACAACACTGGATGGGATAGTCACATCTTTCAAATTTATACAATTGTAGAACGCGTCCCCTTCAATGTATTTAACATTGGATGTTATTATAATACTGCTCAAAGAACTGCAATCTTTGAATGAATAAAAACTTATCGATGTAACACTTGTGGGTATTTCAATACTTTTCAAACTAACACAATACTCAAAACAACCATAAGTGATTTCTTTTATGTTTGGCGGTAATACAACTTTGCTTAAATTGTTACAATTATCGAAACAGTTTTTGCCAATAAACGTGACACTTGATGGTATTACTATACAACTTAATTTACTGCATTCTTTAAAACAACTTTCACCAATTGAAACAACACTTGTTCCAAATATCACATCTATTAAATTAGTACATTGAAAAAAACAACACTCATCAAGTAATGTAATTTTCGGTGGTATTACCACACTATTTAGACCAACACAATTTCTAAAAACCCAACTATAAATTGTTATCACATTTGATGGAATAATAATACTGCTTAAAGAGGTACAATTCAAAAAACAACTATCAATAATCGATACAACACCTGTTGGTATAACCACATTGGTTAGTTTGCTACAATTTTTAAAACACTGATATTCAATTGATGTGATATTTGGAGGTAGTACTACTTTGCTCAAATTGCTACAATTTAAAAAACACATTTTACCAATAGATGTGATATTTGAAGGAATTGTGATACTGCTTAAACTGTAACAATCATTAAAACATTCATTTTCAATTGATGTGGCATTTGATGGAATGTTTTCACCAAATAATATTCTATCACTACGTGTAAATGTCATATTTTTAAAAATAATATTTCTATTGACATTTATTTGAACAGTTGTACAAATAACATTGAACCATGCGACAATTTGTTTGAAGGTTTTCTTTACCACAATTTCCTTACCCATGTTAATATCATTATAGTCAACATCATTTGTTTTGACAAGAAAACCATTGCCAAAATTTTCTTCATCTTTATTCCACAAATTGAGTGTTGTGATGTTTGGAAAGTATTCAATTGTTTTGTAAGTCAATGGAATTGGGTTGCAAAGAAACTTTTTCATGTAATTAGAGTACTTTTTACAAACCAATTCAAGATTAATAAAATCTTTAATTGTTTTAAAGTACTTCGAGATAATCACAATGTGATTATTGCTAAGTCTGGACATTTTTGAATTAACAAAATTATAAAGGTTTATATAGTTATCGAAGAGTGTAGTTGTCATAATTTGGTTTAATTACACATCATAAATATGTCTAACTACTAACAACCTTATTTTTTGAAGAAAAAAAATTGTGTAATAATTTATTTTTAATTATAAAATATAAAAATTAATTTTCATAATAATTCAAATTAAATCAATTAACATTTGTGTATGTTTATATTATGTAATTACATAAAATTAAGTAAAATAATATATATACACACAAATATTTAAAACGAATTGTGTTGTTTTAATCATTTTATTCCATGTGTACAAAAACTTAATTGTATTGGCTTTTTTAATCAATATTATTAAATAAATGAAATAAATAAAATTATATAATAAACATAATTCAAATGTGTTTTATTAATTATCAATTAAAAAATAATTTTAAACTTATATTTTAATATGTAGTTCATCATAAAACAATTTAATATTATTTAAACGATTTTTATTTCGAACTACTATTTCCTGTGGTTTCTGTTAAATCCGCTATCTGTAGTACAAACACTCCATTGGTTTATATTTTATGTACAGAAGGGTAACTGAACATATAAATTTTCAACTGAATCCTAAACTTACTCTTAATTTACTAAAATTAGCTTTTAATAATCTAAATATGGATGATCAACAATTTTACCCTTAAAAATATTAAAAATTGTTGGATCTATTCTGAACCAGCATCTTGAAATAAAATAATAAAAATAAAACAAACAAAAATCGATCTGTAAAATTGTATATTCACATGAAGAAAAACATACACGTAATTAATTGCGACAATTCGTTGCATCTTTTTTATAATGCCGATTTCACATCTCAAATATGTGAAAATCATGAAGTTGATATTAATGAATACTTGACTGGCAACTTCAATGTTTTGGAAGAAAAAATTGGTAAAGAAGAACTCTGTCTTGATTTTGGTCTAACTTTTTGTCAAGAAGACCTAAAAATTATTGATGATACAAATGATGTAAATATTATATTTTTAACACAAAAAAATCGAAAAGAAAAACGAAATATGTAAAGACTTATATGTACCAATTTTAATCATCAAAAAGTTGTAATCGTCGTAAAATGAGACAATCAATAACAATTCAATGAACATTTTTAATGTTAAATTTGGTTTTATTTCATTTGTTATTTTTATTAAATTTTTATTATTAATTACCCCCTTTTGTTCACGGAACAATAAAAAAAATAACCAATCAATTGGCATTTTCAAAAACATTGCGTTTAGGATTCAGTTGTGTTTTTATATGGTCAGTTACACCCCTGTATAATTAAAGTCGCTTATTTGTGGGTTTTCTTGCATAAATAGTTGTCTATTTGTACGTTTTGTTGAGAATTTAAAAGAATATTCTTTGATTTATTTTGATTATCAATAATAAATAAAAATAACCATAATTTGTAGTTTTTAGTCTTTTAATAAAGTTAGCTTGTAAATAGTTATTCACTTAACAAAAATTTACACAAAATAAGTCTTAAATAATAGGAATTAGGAAAAAAAATCTGAAAACTAAATAAAATAAAATAATAGTGTTTTGGAGCTTTTTCTACAGTTTCCCGAAATATTTAAGTTTTAATAGTCCAAAAATTTAATCACTATGTTTCAACACTGATTGTATACACAAATGTGGAACTAAAATTTCGACTTGCTATTTAAATACTAGTTTAATAATAATGAACAAGGTCCTTAATTATTTTCATAAAATCGTCCAAATACAACTTTTATATTTAGTTTTTACAATAAAATAAAAATTATTAATTATTAGTCGAAACCTTATGTATTGTGGTATAATTTTGTTAATCAAAAATTATTATTAATTATAGTATTTTTTAAATAAAATATAAAACAATTATTAAAAATTGAAACCATTTTAACAGAAACTTAAAATTATTAGATTAAATAAATTATAAAATTATATTCCATAATAGATTTTGTTTCAGGTACAATCAAAAAAAAGTTTTTTTAATTGATTTCAATTTATTATTGTTTCGAGAAGATACAACCTATTTGTATGTTTAATTTTGATTGATTAATTAACCCACAAATACAGACAGTGTATTAAATGGGTGTCAAGAAATCAGCGGATTGATTGATGTAAAAAATCAGGTTTTATTTTTTTGTTTTTTATTTGTTTTTTTTCTTAATAATAAATGATTTATTATTATATGCCATGTCCTTGTCGGCCAGTTAAAATAATTCTGGCACCCAATAAGTTTTTGCACCTCGTAAATACTCGATCTGTATGCAAAACAAACAAATAAGCGATTTTGACTATAATTACTAAATTTAAGACAGTTTATTATTATTTGTTTTTTGTTAACATGAACATTATTTATAAGTGAAAATCATAATAAAATACTTATTAATACATGAAATAAATTTTTTAATTAAATGTTTGTATAAAAATGACTTAAAATACCTAAAATAAGTCTAACAACAGTCGAAGTTATAAAGCACGTCATCAAAATTTCTTTTCTTCAAATTTTCCGTTGAAATAAAGAAATTTCCGACACCACAATCGCCCCACATTATTTCCTTGTGTTTTGAGACTTTGATTGACTCCAATTGAAGTAACAAAGTGTCATATGTATCGTCACTTCTAGGATCTTCTTGTGCGAAGTTTGGATATCCGCCCAATGAACACAATTGTGGTCTTAGTCTATCGTCCTCCATTATTGCGTTGTATAACTCATCATTTGAGACGTTGTATTTCAAAGCCATTTTATCGATAATTTGGTCTGCTTTGTACCACCTGAAACTAGCCCCCTCCTTCAACTTTCCTTTGAGCGCAAAGACTGAATTAAACGGGAGGACTTTATTTTCAATTTCGTGCTTTGTGTTGTAATTCTGAGCAACATCATTGGGAAGTGTTTGCTGGTGGTTTTCATCCAAATCAACAATTTCGTGGTAAATCACTTTATGTAAAATTGGGTTGTACTTTCCATCAGCGTCATAGAGTCCAAATTCATCGTCCGGGTTTATAAATATCTGAAGAATTCCTGTGGTCGGGAAATTTTTTAATTTCGGCATTTCACTGAAATTTATTTGAGCGAGAAGGTACATATAATCTTTATTTGAATTTGTTGGGTATATCATGCCTTTGGGGTAATATGGTATTCCACCTATTTTGCTCGAGTAAAAAGGTGCGTCTGAGTCTAAAAGTTTTAGGCTAATGTACGGCTTCTTGTAAACCGAGTACAACTCTGAGATTATTGTGGAAAGAACTTCGTCAGTAAGATGTCCCATTTATTTGTATTGTGTTTGAGATGTATTTTTATTTTTTAAATAATCAAATTTTAAAATTCTGTATTTGGGAAAATAACTCACTATTAGTTATAATATATTATAATTATTAATTATTATATTGGGGTGCGCAACCATTAACAAATAATTTGCTGTTTGCCCGTTTTTTAACACAAAAACATACTTTGCTTTAATTGTTTTATTTTTACAACTAATCGTGATCTTCAAAATCTCGAGATCTAAGATTTTATTAAAAAGATCTGCCATAACAACCAGCAAAAAAAGCCAAAAAATCGAACAAAAAAAAATATTTTTTTTTGTTATTATGCATTTTAGTTTTAAAAATTACATTTTTACTTTAAAACTTTAATGCCAAAATTATTTTGCATTTTAATTAAAAATACATTATTTGCTCTTTTTACCACCACGAATAAATGATATTATTTTTATATTTTAAACAATTTCATATAATTGTTATATTCACCTTATATTATAACAACAATAATACTTTTCATTATTGTTAACATTTAAAAACAAAAGAAAACAAGTTAAATTTCAAGTACAATCAGTACAGTCGATATAACAGTACTTGTTAAAGTACAACAAAATTATAAATTGAGTTAAAAAACAATTAAATGATATTGTTTCTTGCTTTTGTTTGAAA